ATTTTTACCCATAGGGGCCAGTTTGAAGACATGTCTGGTCAATATCTGATGAAAGTAGAGATGCCACTGAAATCAGTCCTTGAACAATCAAGTATGTGCCTCAAATTTGGTAGAATTTGTGAAGGTACATTTCATTAAAGCAGTTTATAGTAAGAATAAACTGAGTCATGTGTCTGTTTGCTGGGCAGAGCTGAGCCGGGATGATATCTATGCAGTAGAGATAGTTGGAGGAGCCACGAGAATCCCATCCGTCAAAGAAAGAATCGCCAAGTTTTTTGGAACAGACGTCGGCACCACGCTCAACGCCGACGAAGCTGTCGCTAGAGGCTGTGCACTTCAGGTGTGACTCTTCTCTTGACACGAATGATTCCTTGTTGTGAAGCACTTTACAAACACTCTATAGCTCGTAACATGTAATTTGTGCTCTTTGTTTGCGTGCAGTGTGCAATTTTGTCTCCAGCATTTAAAGTGCGTGAATTCTCCATCACTGACGTGGTTCCCTTTCCTATTACTCTTCGCTGGAAGTCCCCAACAGAGGATGGATTGGGGTAAGGACAGGTTACCTTAGCTAACTTTAAGAACAAGTAACTGCTGACTTTGTTTGTGCATTCTGACATTCTTTTTCTCTTACTGCATTTTTTTTTGTCACAGAGAGTGTGAGGTGTTCAGTAAGAACCACGCTGCCCCATTTTCCAAAGTGATCACCTTTCACAAGAAGGAACCCTTTGACCTTGAAGCCTTCTACAGCAACCCCCAAGAGCTCCACTACCCAGACCACAGGATAGGTAACTCTGATCATTACCCATAAGTGCCCTTGGTATTTTCTTTGGTTGGCCCATTTGAATACCTAAAGAAAGAGGACACAGTCTCCTACAGATGGGTCCTTATAAGCCAGGTGTTGGGGGGATATCAATTTGTAACTTCCACCTTAAAGGATTATGTTCAGGGTGTTTCATCGAATCTTTTTAACTAAAACACTCATTTTGTTTCCATCTGCCACCAGGATGTTTTTCTGTACAGAATGTGGTTCCCCAGCCGGACGGAGACAGCTCTAAAGTGAAGGTGAAAGTGCGCGTCAACGTCCACGGCATCTTCAGCGTGTCCAGCGCCTCTCTGATCGAGAAGCAGAAAGGAGAGGGAGAGGACATGCAAATGGACTCAGAGCCAATGGTGCAGAATGAAGGCAAAGCAGAGGACCAGGTTAGAGCATTTTGCCAACGTTCCTTTTGTGCTATCTTTTGTTTTAAATGGATTTTGCAGCAAAGATAATTCCTTTACATTTGTCTGATATACACTAAAGGTTCATTTTACTTTCGATTTTTTCTAAATATCATTTTTTAAGTTATTTATATCCAACCAGACTTGGCTAAAACAGCTGATTGTGTGTTGTGACTCAGTCCAAAATGCAGGTGGATCAGGAGGGTCAGAGCCCGGGGGACCAGCAGAACGAGGACAACAGCTCCAGCAGTAAGGTCAGCTGGACTTGAATAAAGGATAACAGATTTTAACCTTGATACTGAGTAACATACTCCAAAAAAGACTGAATTGTGTTTCCTGGTTTCCAAATTCAGGAGGGGGCGCCTGGAGAAAAGCAAGACCCAGCAGCAGGGGCGAGCAAGCCCAAAGTCAAAGTGAAGATTATAGATCTGCCCATCGTGGCCAACAATATTCGACAGCTCGACAACGATGTCCTTAACAACTTTGTGGAGTACGAGGTCAGTGCTCTTTCTGGCCTTTAGAAAAGCTGAGTCATGGTCTGACTGAAATGTTGATTACCTGAGCACTAATGGATCGAGTTGAATTAAAAACCTGATATGTAATTTATACGTGTTATGTTCAATATTACAATCTGGCACAAAACACTGATTGGCCCAACAAGGGACCACAGTATTTATTTAATGCTTGATTATTTACATAATCTGTGCCAGTATTATTTTAGGGGAATTATTTGTCACAGGAATTATCATCTCGGACTACATTTTGGTTTTAGGTACAGTAACGCGTTTTATATGTTTAACTTGGGGTTTTAAAGCCACAAAGTTATACTAGATTTTAAGATATTTAAATGATTATTACTAAAAATGCAAGCTGCTCTCTTATTAATTATTAATGTAATGTTTTTAAAAGTTTATTAAACTCAACTTTTACACTCTAAATTGTGTTTTTTTCAGTCAGATAACACTATATTGTTTGTTTTTGCTGTTATTGTTTTGCCTCCTGTGACTTTTTTTCTGTTTTCTTCCTCACAGCATCAGATGATTATCCAGGACAAACTGGTGAAGGAGCAGAATGATGCTAAAAATGCTGTAGAGGAGTATGTATACGATCTGAGGGACAAACTTTGTGGCATATATGAAAAGTATATCACTGAGGAGGTAAGTGCAGTTTTCTAGCATACATTTGATCTACCAAGCAAATTAACTACTACTGTATTCAATCAATATCTGTTTTAATTTGGGACATTGACAACAGGACAGTAATCGGCTGACTCTGCTGCTGGAGGACACAGAGAACTGGCTGTATGAGGATGGAGAAGACCAACCCAAACAAGTCTATGAGGAGAAGCTGGATGCACTCAAGGTAGGTTTTTCAATTCTGTATTCAATTTTAGATGGGATTTACTAAACCACAAGAAAAGCTTAACCAAGCTACTTAGGCTTAGAGACATTTTAAAGGTTTTTAAGATTTCTGGACACATGAACACCAATTCTGTTATTTTCCAGAGGTTGGGTCAACCTATTCAGGATCGACACAGAGAGCAGGAGGACAGGCCGAGGGCTTTTGAAGAGCTGGGGAAAAAAATGCAACTCTACATGAAGATTGTGGATTCCTATAAACAGAAGGTACATCACTTCGATGGGATGTATTGCATGTACATACAGTATACAAATAGGTTTACAAAAAGGAAAGATTTTGAAAGAGTAGTAGTAGTCATTTTTGTAATTTTCTTGTCACAATTTCTCCCCTAGGACGAGCGATACCTGCATTTGAGTGCAGAGGAAATGAGCACTGTGGAGAAGTGTGTGAATGAAAGCATGGGTTGGATGAACAGCATGATGAACGCACAGAGCAAACTCGGTATCACTCAAGATCCCGTTGTCAAAGTAGCAGAAATCATTTTCAAAATACAGGTATGTGAACGACTACCGAAGATGTATTTCTTACTGTAATGATCAGTGGGTTTCCTTTGCCAACATGTCGTATGCTTCTCACTCACCAGGAACTGGAGGATGTATGTAATCCAGTGATCAACAGACCAAAGCCCTCGGTGGAGGAGGCCCCTGAAGTGAATGACCAAAACAGTGGAGCTCATAATGACCCGACAGCTAAGCAAGGAGCAGAAGGGAAGGGAAGCCAGCAGACAAAGCCTGGTGCAAAAGAGATGGAGGTGGACTGAGAGAAAGCAAACTGCAACCACCCCTGCTCCCCCACAGCTGACCATTTAGAGAGTAGAAACACCTGAACCTGGGACCATCTCTCAATCATCACCAGACACTTTTATTTGTGGGCCCCCCCCATTGGACTTTACCTTTTGAGGTTTCTGTTTTCATCCTTATGTGTGACGATGGTGTGCTGTATTCTCACAAAGATTTGACATATTTATAAATGAAGAAATTATGCAATAGAATAAACTCAGATTCTAACGTAACCTGTTTCCTCTGTACAACATGTGTTTCATAGGCATACATTATCTGCAGCAAATCCTATCACTCAACAGAGAAGAACAGGCTGTCGCAGAACTATTCATTTGTTTCACTAATACAAGTTATATATATTTGTATTAAATGAGTTTGAAAGGATATCCATGTCCAGAAACTCTATATACTTTTTTAGTAAACAGAGCAGTACATATACAGTATGTACATAAAGAAAATATTCCTAGTACAATGGCAATACTTGATACAACAAATCTCTTTAGTAATTTATTGGTTGAGTATCTCCTTTATCGTTTTCTTGCATTTTTCACATTTAAGTCACGGGCTATAAGGATGTCAAAAATAAATGCATTTGTATGCAAGACCAAATTTCAATAGTCTGAAATTAGATTTTCTGTACAAAACAAAAGGTGGGACATGAAGATATTTAGCTAAATCTGTAGTATACTGTATTGTGCTAAAAAAAAATAGAAAGTTTGGTGGAGATAACATACTGTTACTACAATTTAATCCGAAAAATACCAAATAAGAGGAAACCTAGTGACAAAACTTTTCGCAAGTCAAATTTAGCTTTAAGGTATAATGTGTATGAAGCCTTCTATTGTTTGAAATTAAATTAATAAATTACACATTAAGAAAAACTAATCATGAGAAAATTAACAGATCAGATCTTTAATGCAACAAGGAAAATAGGAAAGAATCCAATATGTTCTCTTTTATTCTAATTTTTCAGCAGTAACAATATATATATAAATAACTTTATCTAATAAGGCCACCAGATCTTTGCCAATCAAGACAAACAGTGAAGACTCAGTTATGTGGTTGTAGAATTGAAATCTAGACAAATAATTAAATAGTAGTTGTATTATATGTTGAATATTTTTAGGTTTAGGACAAAAATCTCAAATTATTTGTCGATTCATTAATATACACATTTTATTATAGACAAACTACAAATACAATTATTAGTTGCAGCAGTAGATTAAATAACATTTAATATCCTGCGTGTTTGCACTCCTCTGATTGCTTATATTATTTACTTATTTCCTTGTATACACGTTGGTTCTCTCTACAATTAATGCACAACGGATTTGTTAAGAATTGAAAAAAACAAACCGGAAATATATTCATGAACTTCATGAAATATAAGACACAGAATAAGCTTACAAACCCGGAGGAGTGGGATCCTTCGAGGGGGCGGGGGCAACGATTGTTTTGCCATGTGACGTAGCCTGTGACGTAGCCCCGAGACTAACGGAAAATATTTTCAAAATGGCACATTTTTTGGGGGGAGAACGCGATCAATACTTATATGTCTTCTGAACACTCTTTTACCGACTATCGATGTACTGTACCGATCAAGGAACATTATTACAAACTTGCATGCATCTGCAAGGCGAAAACCAGGCACGATGAGTGTTTCGATCGGCGATAAGATTGAGGTGAGGTCTTATTTTAGGCTAATGCCCCCTAGCTAACTGCACACTCTCTCTGTTAGGCAGCGTTAGTTCACATTAAAGTTAGTTTTAGCTTTAAATGGCTTGTTTGCCGTGCTTTTAACGCTTATTGTCTTGATATACTAACCTCAATAGTGTCAAAGCATCTAATTTGATTCACTTAAATGCATATATCGTTTAACTTTCAGCTAATATTTTGCTAAACTACATGTTAGCCATTTAACTCGACGTGAGTGTTCGCTTTTGTTTGTGTGTCAAGTTGTTTTTTACTTAAACTTGCTTAACTCTTATTATTATTTGTGGTATTATTATTATAACTATATCAGTTTGGGTATTGCTATCAGCATTAGGTTGCAGCCTGGTGATGTGTAACCTTACCTCTCTCCCGGGACACATTGTTATTCCCCTGCTTCAGTTCGGTAATCCAACATGTTGCTTGGAGACAGCTCGTTAGCGGGAAGACAGCCGGGATAATGGAGGGTTCTGGTTGGCCATATGACAGCGTCAGGTGTTGGTGGCTTGTTTGACGGTTAACGTTTGTTGTGGGACGGATTTCCCTATGTCAGGTCATTAGATGTAGGATTGTGTGTTTAGCTGTTCATTCAGCATGTCGCAGGCCAGAGGGATGATATTTGATCAGGTTATCCACTATTTCTTACTAAACCATTCTGCTGACACCGAACCCAGCAGAGATGAGGAGAATTGTTTACCTTTTAACCAGGAGCTCAGGATTGAGGTATTATGTTATTGAAGATCCTGTCTGTAATTTGATCAAAAATAGAATTACCTTTAAATCTGAGATCATTGTTAAATATTTAGCAAATACAATTCATTTATCTAAATGATTTATTGTTCAACTCAATGTTTATTTTGTTCTCTTTCCTGTTGTAGGACTTTAAGGTCCTCACCCTCCTTGGGAAAGGCTCCTTTGCATGTGTTTACCGGGCCAAATCTATAAGGACCGGTCTGGAGGTTGCTATCAAAACGGTAAGAACCCCATCATTCTAAGTCATTAAAATGAGGTAATTACAGCATGCTTAACCTGTAATATAAACTCTTAACCAAAACACATGCTGTTACCAGTGACGGTTGAAGTGTAAAATGGAACTGTTTGGATAATTAGACCCTACTCGCCTCCCAAGGGCTTCTGGTGGTCTCTCGACTCCCCTCGAATGAGGTCTGCAAGTTCACTGGCTTTGTGGGCGACAGATTGACTATTAGCCAACAGACCAACCACCATGCAGCAGCGCAGTATCACAGTGTTTATCCTGTGATTGGCAGGTGTATAATTATCTCGTTTGTTCCCATCTGCAGATTGACAAAAAAGCAATGCACAAAGCTGGTATGGTCCAGCGTGTGACAAACGAGGTGGAGATTCAATGCCGATTGAAACATCCTTCTATTCTCGAGGTAACGTTGGCTGGACTCAACTGATTTGGTATTACACTACATACAGTCTGCCTGTGTCCTCCTTTAGACTTTCTTTGCAACGTTTCGGGTTTATGTTTTTCTGTACAAAATGTACAATTTACGATTTACAACGATTTGCAGCTACAAACACACATTCATTGTAGAATTTAATGTAATTATTTTTGGGAAATCATATATTTTGTTTTTCTCACTAACATGATAATAAATACTGTATTTTATATCATGTCTTTATTTAAGCTGTACAACTACTTTGAGGACAGCAACTATGTGTACCTGGTGTTGGAGATGTGCCACAACGGAGAGATGAGTCGGTGCCTAAAAGAGCAGGAAACAGCATTCTCTGAGGATGAAGGTCAGGCACAATTATTTTACTTGGGAAAATTAAACTAATATTATGTTAAAGTAAATGGTTTCTTTGATGTTCAGTTTTGCAAGCTACCTTTTTCTAAAAAAGGGTGTTGTTTTGATCCGCAGCACGACATTTCATGCATCAAATATTGAAAGGAATGCTGTACTTGCATACCCACGGCATATTGCATCGAGACCTGACCTTGTCTAACCTTTTGCTGACGAGCAGCATGAACATTAAGATTGCGGACTTTGGGCTGGCCACTCAGCTCAAACTCCCAACTGAAAAGCACTTCACCATGTGTGGGACGCCCAACTACATCTCCCCAGAGGTGGCCACTCGCAGCGCTCACGGTCTTGAATCGGACGTCTGGTCGCTGGGATGCATGTTCTACGCATTCCTGATGGGTCGCCCTCCGTTTGACACGGACTCAGTGAAGAACACTCTGTCTAAAGTGGTTCTCGGGGAGTATGATATGCCTAGCCATATTTCTCTGGAGGCTCAGGACCTGATCCACCAGTTGCTGCAGAGGGACCCCGCCCATCGGCCCAGCCTGTCTGCAGTGCTGGACCACCCGTTCATGACCCAAAGCCTGCTGGTCCGGACCAAGGATCAGGGGTTGGTGGATGATTGTTCCATGGACAGCGGCATTGCCACCATCTCCATAGCTTGCACCTCCTCCATTTCAGCCAGCAGCAGCAGCCGCCTCCAGAGGAGAACCAGGAACATGATCGGCTCTGCCCTGCCGAACAGAATGGTGCCCATTTCAACCTTTTCACGCAAACCCATCAGCGCCTGTTTTGAGGATGGAGACCAGTGGCAGCAGCAGCAGCATCAAGCGGATATATTTCACAGGGAGGGAAGAAGCAGGGGGGTTCATGGTGGAGACAGCAGGGAGCCTCACTCCCGCTACCTGAGGAGGGCGCACTCCTCAGAACGCTCGGGATCGGGCCGGGGGCCGGGTCACGCCGAGCTGGGGAGAAGCCACTCAGAGGAGAATCTGACTGGTTTAGAACTACGAGAGCATGGGCGGCTCCCCTCTCCCCCCGTGAAACAGTCGACAAAGTAAGACATGTCTTTATTTATGATGTTATTTTTATTTTAACACATTTTATGAGACTAACAGGTTGCACTTTCTTTTTCAGTTCTGGGTATTTGTTACCCACACAGAATGCACATCCAACAAACCTGCAATTTCAAGACCTGGATGGAGTTACAAATTGGCTTAATAATGACGGTAAGATTTTGATTTAGATTATACAGATACATTTCAGCATTGGTAAAGCGAAAACAAAAAAAGCTACTTGCTACTCAAACAAATAAAGCTATCCTGTTTACAAAAATGTTTTCTCTTTGCTCAGGTTCTGGTCAGAGGCCGGCAGACGGCAGCACTCACAGCAGCAGCGGCAGCTTTCATAGCGGTCGAGGACCTCTGGGGAATCATAACTCCTGGACCGACAAGCCCATGGGCCGAGGTGTGAACCACAACCAGCAACACGTGCAACACAACCTTCACTCCAACTCTGACTCGTTCAGGGAAAATATACCAGAGTTCCAGCCTCCTCACAGCAGGGAAGTAAAGCTGCCTTCAGCTAAACCCGGTGTGGATAAAGAGAAGAAAACGCTGAGAGACATAATCCTGCCCCTGTGCGCATCCAGACTGAAGCCTATCAGACAGAAGACCAAAAATGCTGTTGTAAGATATTACACACATATATATTTTAATTATGTAATGTTTACTATGAGCAGTTGAGATAATTATCGTATTTCCTGTTTCCTACAGGTGAGCATTCTGGACACAGGTGACGTGTGTATGGAGTTGTTAAAAAGCCACAGCGGTCAAGAAAGGGTCAAAGAAGTCCTCCGGATTTCCTGTGACGGTTCCATGGTGAGCTCACTGAATCAAGTACCTCTGACATGTTCCATATGTGACATGTAGGGGGTAGTGTAACAACATAATATAACATAATGTTATTTAAATCTTAATATTATCATCTCTTGAAGGTGACAATATACCAGCCTAATGGTGGAAAGGGGTTTCCTGTCCTGGACTGTCCTCCTGCTCCACCTGAAGATATTCTGATCTGCAGCTACGAGGACCTTCCAGGTATTATGACTGACATAATGCAACAAGTAACATCGGCTCGAATAAGATCAAAAATGTACTATAAGTAGGGTTGGGAACCGAAACTCGGTTCCAGATGAGAACCGATAAGAAATTGCCGGGTACCGGGTACCCATACGAAATACACAATTTCGGTTCTGCTTAACGGTTCCTAAACGCGGTAGACCCTGTATTCCAGCGGGTCCGTCTGCACAGTGGTGACCCGGTGGAATACAGGGCGGACCTGGAGAATCACAGAACGGCCGGCACCGCCCTTCATCTTTTTAAACGGCATCATATAAGTTGCGCTGACAGGCGACAGAGGTCCACAGCTGCCCCGCAGCGAGGCTCCCCCCGCCCTCCCGTAGACATTTCACGAGCTCAGTCACTTCATAACACCAAAGATGGATCGCGGTAAACGCTCTAAAGTGCGGCTCCACTACACTAAAAAAAGAAAAAGACAAGGCACAGTGTAATGCCTGTTAATAGCTTGCCACAGGCATAGCTCAGTTAAAATAAAGCACAGCTATTGTGCAATCCATTTGTATCGCATGTATATTTTTTATTTGTAACAATTTCAGTTAAAGTTTAAAAGAATAAAGATATTTTTGTTTTCTAAACATTTGACCTATTTCTTTTACAATTTTGGAATCGAAACGGGGAATCGATAAGAACCGGAATCGATAAGCAGAACCGGAATCGGAATCGAAACATTTCAAACGATGCCCGTTCCTAACTATAAGTGATTTTATTTTTTTCACAGAAAAATACTGGAAGAAGTACCAATACGCCTCTACGTTTGTGCAGCTTGTGAAATCCAAGACTCCAAAAGTGACCCTTTACACCAAGTACGCAAAAGTCATGCTGATGGAGAACGCTCCGAATGCAGACCTGGAAGTTTGTTTTTATGATGGTGAGTCAAAGGTAGTTAACTAGTTATTGGAGAAAGCTGTGCTGACGATTTATTGTGTTAGAGTTAATATGTCATGCTTGACTTGCGTTGTGTAGGAGCAAAGACCCACAAGACGTCGGAGCTGGTGCGAGTGGTGGAGAAGAGCGGGAAGTCGTACACGGTGAAGGGCGAGGTGGGGCTGAGCGTCCTGAGCCCGGAGAGCAGGAGGTATGTGGAGCTGTCTGACGAGGGCCATAGCATGTGTTTGTCCCTGGAGGCCGCCATCTCAGCGGAGGAGCAGCGCAGCACCAAGAAAGTCCCTTTCTTCCCCATCACTATTGGCAGGTAAGAGGAACAACACGTTGATGTCATTTGTTGGTTTGAATGTTGCCTTGTGTTGTGGTTAATGTTAGTTTTACACCTGCTCCCAGGAGACCTGCCACCCCTACCATCCCAGGCTCTTCGTCCCTGCCCTCCCACCCGGTGCCTCCTGATACTGCTTCACCTCCTCAACCTCCGCAAATCACTCCTTCAGTAGGTGTCTTACAGCCCTACACTACAGGGTGTATAAACAGAAGAATAAGAGGCTTTAACAACTTGACTCTTGATGGGACTTGTCTTTCAATTTCCAATTTTGTATCATTTTTTAGATGATCTCGTATGACGGGTCTGATTTCACCACAGCCAGCCTGAATAGGAAAACCTCCCCGCTGCGACAGGACACAGGGAAAGTGGTGAAGTCGATATTTGTGCCCAATGTTGGATGGGCATCCCAGGTAACTGATAAATAGATTCAGCTATATTCTATATTCAGAAAATGAATCGTCTGTGTAATTTAAATCTGTGTCTGTCTCTGCAGCTGACGAGTGGAGAGGTGTGGGTGCAGTTCAACGACGGCTCCCAGCTGGTGGTTCAGGCGGGAGTTTCCTGCATCACCTACACATCTCCAGACAGGAGGGTCACCAGGTACTGCAAAATAAACGTGTTGTGACTTTATAGGTGTTTGTGTTTGTGTGCAGGAACAGCTCTCTTTAACGTTTGTCGTCTCCTCAGGTACAAGGAGAGCGAGAAGTTGCCAGAGCACGTCAAGGAGAAGCTGCACTGTCTCTCCACCATCCTGGGCCTGCTGACCCTCCACAGCGCATCATCTCCAACCTCATTAACTACTTGTAGTTATAAATAACAAAACCTCCCAGCAGCTGGCAGGGAACAAAACATAGCATTAGAAAACTTTTGTACTGTCTTGTGTTCTTGTAAATATTTGTATTGTTTTGTTTTTTTACATGTACAGAAGACTAAGATTATGAAAAGATATATTTTATTTTAATAACAAACCCTTTTGTCAGTGTTGAAAAAAAGTCCTTATTTTTGACTGTCTCCAATTCAATGATATGTGCAAACCATAAACGCTCAGTCAATAAACATCTGGAGGTTTGGTGGAGAAATGCTGCACTTTGTTTTGCAGTGGTTTTATTCACTAAGAGATCTTTGTAGAAAGAAATTAAAGTATTTCAAGATGACCATTAGAGGTCACCTGAACGGATTGAGCAGAATTAAGAGACAGTTTCTCGAGTAGTCTCATGTAACAGATATAAGGTGTCTGCTACATGAGACTACTATACATGAAAGCAATTAGTGACAAGTACTTGGTGCGGTAAACAAAACTGAATTAAAAAGTCAGATAAGGGTTCACATGTTTATTTCGCCCTGTTGGTTTGGCCATTTAATTACAAAAGGATTGCGGATTCCTCTCAATTACAGAACTGATACAAAACATACTGTACGGATGTTAGCCTAGGCATATATACACGTACTGTACAAGACACCCAAGAAGTAAACATTCAGGTGGAAACTGGAGCAGGATGACAACGTCTGGGTTGCAGTAATGACAGAAGGCAGGATTAACCATTTATTTCCCATTAAGAAGCACGATAAGGAACACAACATAGGACACACAATATAGTGGTGTACACAGATTTCAGCCTGTCCAGCTTTAACAGGGGCGCACCCATCAAATGTTTCCCCGTTTTCTAGAGGAGGAACCATGGGGTTAGAGTTTCTCTGAACCTGCTGCTTTACACGCTGAATTATTTTCTTCATGACACACAAATTGTGGGAGATAAAACCAGAATGCTAACCACTTTGTGGAAATATTCTCACAATGTGATCTAAAGAAGACCACATCTCAGAGCATCAATGATTTTCTTTTTGTCCCAGAGAGATGTTGTTGAGATGGCTGCACTGACACTTATTCAAGGACAGTTCCATCAGATACAGAAGGAGGACATGGGACAGCTAGGAGGAGCTCTCTGGGACAAGAGAAGAAGAAGCAGGCTCAGAGGAATGTGAAAATCTACAGGTTGGCACTCCTTCCCACTAGATGCTAGAGGGAGACAACAGCATCAACCACACGTGTCCCTTTGACACCACCTGTACAACCAGACCCAGCGCTTTACTAAACCTCTAGTAAATATCCACCGTTTGTTCCAAAACATCCCTCGTGCTTTCATTTAATTTATATAAAACATTTTTTTCCCATAAAATCTCAATAAAATAAAGTTGCTCTTAGTAGATATCAGGACAAAGATATTAACAAAATCGGAGTAAAAAAATCTCACAGTGAACACTGGGAACAAGAGCTGGACTGTCTCCCCCACTGCTTCCCCTCCAAAGTATTTTAACATGTGACAATAACAGCAGCTGGAACAGAAGCAGGTCCAAGGATCTGAGCTTCAAGCTTTACCCAGTTTTCTTTACTGCGTTTTGTAAGAAAATGCTGTTAGTGAAACTAAATTAAGCACAGACGTTACACCGCCGAACAACTTCCTCAATCATCTGGAACCATTGTTATTCAATGATATCAAAATATTTGATACCCAATTTGAAACTTTAACATTTGACCTTAATTCTGGTGGAATAATATATGTTCTGATTCTTAATTATGTAATTAAAGCAGCATTCTTTTGATAGGGAAGCCTCAGTAGAGGAGTTTGCTCACATTACAGATACAAGCACTGACGACATGTGGAGAAGCCTGTTTGAGGAGACTATAGAAGAGTCTTGAAGAGATGAGTTCAATCTCACACTGGAATTCTGAAAAAACAAATCATGGAATTGTCTGAAAATATCCACAAACACGAAAAGGAATGTGATCCTCGTCTTCCTGCAGCGAATCAAACTGGGACTCTAACAAGGACGTGTTGTCTGTTGACGACCTAACATCCGGCATCTTACATACAGTAAAACACTCAAAGACCTAAAATCATTGATGCAACAATCATAAAAAAGAAAATCTTGGTCACATGGTCATGGAGATTTGATTCTGCAGTCGTCCCTCCAACACATGACGGAAATTTGATGGCACTCGGAAAAGTAAACGGCTTACCCGTTTGTTCAAAACACCCACAAAACCCCAAACTATGTTGTCGTTCATGTTCAGACTCATGGTGTCCTCTGCGGTGAGTTGGCCACAGTCACATAGCAGCCCTGGACCTGTGGAGGCGTGTTCAAATGCCCAGTCACCTTTTCTCCCCGTCACTTTGTGCAGAGGAGTCAGTGGTATTGACCAGAAAACAGACACACTCATCACAGGCGTGGTCGCAATGCAAACATACCTGTGTGTGTGTGTGTTAGTGTGTGTGTGTGTGATACAAGGGAGCATACATTGCACGTCTAGTGGCACATCTTTCTCCAGTCCTGACTCCATTAGCTACCTCATCTGGACCCTTTCATTACAGAGAACTCACACAGGAGAGAAAAATAAAATCAGCTATTCCCAAAAAGTTCCCAAAGTTCACATTACAGTACTGTTAAGTCTCATTAGATGAAACGAAAAATACAAAAAGGCAGAGAGAAAAAAGCTTACACCCAATCACCATCATTTTCAATAACTATATAGGAAAAGGTTTGTTTTTGATTAGATATATTATCATCGTTAACATCATAATTATTATGATTATTATTCATTATTATTGTCACCATTGTCATCCGTTTTGTTTTTTTTGTTCAGGGATCAAACGGAGTGGGGGCGGGGGATCAGTCACTGGGAGGAGGCCTTGGTAGCTATCGTGGAGACACAGTGCTGCTGGAAGTTAGGGGACATGGCCGAGTTGCAGCCCAGTCTCTGGCGGGGGCCCTTCAGCCCGCCGTCGCCCTCTACGATCCAGGGGCTGCCGCTGGCCTCTTTTCCCAGCATGCTGCAGCAGGCGGGGGCCGGCGTGGCGGCGCTGGGTACCGTGGTGCTCACCGGTAGGCTCTTGGGCTGCTCGCTGGCCGGGGCGAAGTCCGGGCTGTGGCTCTGAAGCACGCTGGTGATGTGGTTCAGGAGGTCAGTGAAGAACTCAGGGACACCCTCATAACCTGAGAACACCAGGGGACACCCGTCAGACAATTCAGCTTCTCACCATATTGTAAATGGTAGGGTTATTTTCTCTTTCATGCTATGGAGCTGTGTTTGTACATAGCACATATTTTAGTATATTTACTAGTAATATAATCATTTTGTTCGACTTGATTATCTTAAAAGGTCCCCTATTAATACTGTTTTTCATCAATATATTATAGGTCTCAGATATATACAAAACATGTCTCTGAAGCTTTTGGCTCGAAATACCAAACAGATCATTGCAGCATCCCATAATCCCCTCTGTTTCAAAAGTGCTGATTCTCTGTCTGTTACTTTAGATGAAAATAAGGAGCCACTCTGAGAGATATTTGGTTAGAAAGAACACAATGGTGCTCCAAGAGGAGATTCAGGTGATAAGGTGGGGGGGGGGTTACCTAACCTTGGTTGGTTATTGGCTAATGGTTACACAAGCCAAAAAATAGTTATGACATCATAAAGTGGCCAAAATCTGATCAGCTCATTTTCAGACAGGTTTTTATATAAATGGATCAGGACAAAAAGAGAGAGAATCTTTTTTCCTGAAACCTTCAGAATGTCTTTACAAAGAGGGGACACATGTTGATGTATAAAAGACATGACAAAGTGGATTTTGCATAATAGGTGACCTTTAAATGCTGAAAAGAAAAGTATGTACCCATATGTAAAATGGGTAAGTAGAACAAGATTGCAGGTCATGTGACACAGAGACTAAGATCTGAACAAACAGAGTTCAAGATTACACAGGTGATATTTACCACCAAACAACTGGTTGCACAACAGACCTGCGTCTCCTATGGCAACGTGAGCAGAAGGTCCACTCCATAGATAAACATATAAAGATAAAAAGCACCCCCCTCCCCGTGTTGCACCTACCAGGGAATGCATTGATGTCGATGACGGCGTGTTGGCCTGTTTGGTTGTTGATGATAACGTCGATGCCAAACAGGGACACGCCTAGCGCCTGCCGCAAAGATCTGGACAACTCTCTGATGACATCATCACTGGGGGGCTGGGACACTCCCTCCACGTTCTCTCTCTGAGATAAACACAAAGTAATAAAGATTATTATCAACAAAACTCATACAGAAATCAAATGAGAAAGCGGTCAGTGACATTGGGAACGTACCGTGGTCAAGTCTGAGGACGACTCTGGTTTGGAAACATTGTGGCTGTTGAAGAAAATGGCTTCCCTGTCTGAAAAGAGGAAAGAGGAAAAAGGTCAGGTTGAATTTAAAGAGCTTTGAGTACACACTTTCCCAGTGGCATCTAGATACAGTTCTCATTTCTGGCACTAGGTGGCAGCAGAACGTAATGAGGAAACCAGGCTTTACTAAATACATGTCGTTCCTCACTGACTTCAGGTGTAAAGAAACAGAAACATAAAACCAAAGCACCCTGATGGGAAGTCTTTTAATGTTTAACCATCTAATTTACAATCATGTCATGTTGAGTGTTCATGTATGAACAAAACAGCATGTAAGTTGTTTGCCTCTGGCCCCAGATTTCCTTTGAAGCGGTGATAAATGAGACAGGATGAACTTCAGAAATGATTGCTCCTCTTTTCTTTGTTATCATTGCACTGATTAACCATGGAGTGTTAGAGGGAAGGATGAAGGGAGGGGGGGGGAAGTAAATTCCATCACTGTCCAAATAAATATGCCCCTCTCGGCTTGTAGAGGGTGGTGGTAATGAAGTGTCAGGCCGATGGGCTTGCTCATTCCCAGAGTGGATGAACAAACAGCAGTTTAGCTCCACAGAGGCAGGAAGGCGGGTTGGGACAGAACATCCCTCACAGTTATTTTGAAGTTATTTCCAAACACTAACCCGTACCTCTCTTTATCTTCAAACCTCACTCTTTCATCCGGCCTTTCCATCCACTTTACAAAACACGATGTATAGCTCCGGGCCGCAGAGCCAATCCAAACGCTGCGCAGATGCAACGCTTTGATATGTTGCTTTATGTGTTTGACAAGGGCTGTGCTTTTTTTTCCTTCTGCCTCACCGCTCAGCATTCCAGGCTGAAAGCAACTGTTCTGCGCGTTACACAAAGCAGAAGACTAAGCTGATGGAGCGACCGGTTTGCATGAAGGACTATACTGTATCACATGCAAATGCTGGCGTGTGTGCCAGGGGACAACCCTATGTTCAAATCTCTATCATGGGAAAGGCTTCTGACATGTTTATGGGGAAAACACCGCTCCTCTTGTTTATTCCCAGCATGTACCAACAGGGCAGAACTCAATAGCACTCTCCTGCATCCCTTAAAAGGGTGAATAGGTCCAATCACAGGGACTATAAAGCCCTTTTATGAGGGCTTTTATTGGGTTCTTTGGAAAAGCCTTGCAACTCTTACAGTCGGACCAGTGTGGCCGTCAGCAGCCCCTCAGACCTCCCCACCTGTCTCTCTCTCCTCGCCTCTAGGTCTCCTCACCTGCAGGTCCAGCAGGGAAGTTCTTCAGTGAAGGTCTCTCCACCACGGTGTAGGAGTCTCCCACCACAAACACCTTGTATAGCACCGCGTTGTGGTTGATGAAGCTCTGGATCACACAGGGGGGCTTCACGTCCTTCAGGTCCTCTTCACTGAAGATAATGGCCATCTGAGGACGGAAGGACACACCGTAAATGACTGCACTCGAGTCATGTGAAAATGGAAAATAATTTTCACTAGTCATCTAGGACTGCAGATAAACAATCTCTTCGTTATCCATTAACCTGCCAATTGTTTTCAAGATTATTGGACTGTAAATGTGAGAAAACTGTGAAAAATGTCCATTCAAGTTAAAAGTCCAAGCTTATATCTTAACTGTCTTGTTCTGTCCGTCCCAGACCCAAATATATTCAGTTTAATAATATGTAAATAGCAGGAAATCACCATATTTGAGCGGCTGAAAACAGCATTTTCTGCCCTTTTTTTAAGTAAAGTTTTCTCTAACGATTAAACGCTTATCAAATAGTTGGCAGGTATTTCTCGATCCTCTTATTGTTGCAGCTCTAGTTAAATCCTGTCTTAGATTAATGGAGTGGGTGTGGAGGAATGAAGACTGTGAATCCAGCCGTATTCATTTCAGCTGACACGCTCACACACATGAGGCTGTTTATCTGATTGAGTTGTATGTCCTTGTGTTTAATGGGAGTCCTGTGACAGGACAAGTGTCGCTGCTCAGACAAACTGTGGAGGGTGTGTGACCTCTGAGCTCTGTGGCCTCTCACCTCGTGGGAGTTGGTTCCATGAGCCACCCGTGTTTTGCAAACTGAGGAAGAAAGACAAACGAGGAAATACATTTAGCACAGTTACATAACTTAATGCAATACTGTGAAGCTGAAGTGACATTTCTGCAGGGAAACGAAACATTGAACACTTTGACAGTAAACAAAGAACTGTGAGACAGGAAGTGAGTCCACAAAACACAATTAAGAGGTTAACGTTACAATATTAGATGAAAGGATTGTTTATGGAGTGTAGATTTAAGTCCTGGATATCTAGAGGAGGTCTAAAGAAAAAGAAGAAACACTTACTGAAGGGGAATGTGAGTCCTTGCCTCTTGATCTGCTCCAGCACATCTGGGCTGCACTCAGTGTTCAGGACCATGAATGGAGGAGAGCAAATCCTTTCGTCTAATGAAAAGAAAAGTAAAAGAAGGTGGGTAAGGATGAGTGAAGTCAGACACTCTGAATGAAGGTCTTGGTGTTTTAGATAAACCGTAAAAGTATTGGGGAAAAAGGTTCTAATATCGTTGATAGTGTGGTCTTCTTGAAAACAAGAGAATTATGGATTTCTTCTAAATTTGCTTCTAAAAATATCAAATTTCCAACGGAATAAAATAAATAAAAGAATCATCGACAATCAGTTTTCTGTCGATCATTTCAATTCACGCTTCTGACAGGCAATTGTATCACATGACATAAAATGAATAGTATGTGTAAGTGGACACAAAGAAATAATCTGTGTACAAAAGATGCAAGTGATTTATGTTCCATGATAGACAAAGTGAATTGGTCCTGAAATAGCTGCTATTGAGGCTATTTGTTCTAAAAGATTAAAAGGCAGCACCTTTGACCGTAATCTAAGCAAAAAGGCTTAAGACCTATTCCACAAGTAAAGCAGATCAGTCTCTAACATATTCAGATGCACCTTATTTCATATGGCACAACAAAATCATATATTTATATTCCATCGTTGTGATGGTTTAGACAAGAAACACAGCAGAGGCCATCTGAGGCCCAAGGGGACAAATGACTCCTGTTCAAATAAATAAAGCAGAGCGCTGCCAGGCCCTTCTGCTCCTCCCAAACACACACACACAGGAAAATGCTGAAATACAGGAAGACACAAGAACTCATGAGGAACTGCAGGCAAGTCCAACCAGCTGTGGACATTACGCAGTCATCATATACAGCACCTGACTAACAGGCGTGATCGATCACTCACGCCCAAAGCTCAAACAAAGCAGGGGCAATTAGAAGAGATAAAGTCAGCCGAGCCTTACTTAAACATGAAATAGGCCGGGTCTGTCTGACTCAGCGTCTCCACTATGTTTTTACATCACACCGTGTTTGTTGACATAATATTTTAACATCAAATCCTGTAGCAGCAGGTCGGTCAGTTCCGATAAGAGTGAAAATAACAAACATCCTGCAGCTCCGTCACACTTCTCGATATCGCGGCTCAGGATGCATCTAAATTAATGTTCTGCCTAGGGTAATTTCCGCCCAACAGTAGGTACATTGGGGGTAAAAAGGCAGCCGGCACGAGATATCGCCACAGGAAATCAGTGAGGGGGGGCCAAACCAAGAGCTGGCAAATTGCTAATGACAAAAACACAATGGGAACACGCCGGCCTTTGTGAGCCGTGGGGCTCCGCAGTGGCAGGGCTCTCTGCTCCCACTACTGCTGAGGTCAGGACAATCCCATTTGCCTACATTACCTCCAGTGCTGAGTGCTGAACTCTGGGTGTGCACTGGGCCCCACACACACAGCTGCAGCTCCCACAGAAGCCACATAGTGCAGACACAAACACACACAAATATTTGGGGAAACCTTACAATGAATGGAGATGCACAAGGCAAAAAGAGAAGAAGCCTGAATGTTATCTCTGACACATTCTGTGACACTAAGCTGCAGAGCAGGATCCAGGAAACCTGTAATAAGGATGATAATAGCAACCAGGCAGGCATATAATTAAGGATAATTACAGCTTATTGTTGTTGTAGTCTTGGCCACCATCCGCTTTGGTTATGATGCAGTGCTATAATTACCAAACAATACATTATTTGGTTTTTATTTGATAAAGTTCAAGTAATTCTCCAAGCCAAAGAGCCACAAAGCAATTTGAAGATTGACATTTAGTATAATTAAAGCATAGTTACAGCCCTACATTGTATTCATTAATTAGTATCGTCACTTGCTGGAGGCATGAGACAACATTTCTTAAAATACATCCAACAGGACAACGGATGTGAGCAGTCAGGTGATCGGACAGATTTCACAGAAAACCCCAGTCTACTCATTTCAAGGGGAAATGTCACTTTACACTGCTTAGATAACTTTTTTCTTATATATAAATAATGTTATTGGTGGTTTTTGACAATCACATCTATGACACCAACCCATTATAAATCGGGAAAACCCTTTGTGTGTTTACCTTGTTGTTGTGCCCTCCAGCTTAAGTTGCTCCGCTGCAGCTCAACATGTACTTTGACCACTATGGGCAAAACTCATTTCCTAATAGGAACACTTGTATTTTCCCCAGCGAAAAGGAATAAATGTGCCTGATAATCTGATCTAGCATGGTTCAAATGTTTCTATTTTTGCTGTTACATGACAGACGGACACAGAATACTCCTATTCTCTCTCACAGACAGACACTTGTTCTGCGCTCGATAACCTTTCCATCTGCTGGGTCTGTTCCAGCATTGGCTCTGCAACAAGTCACTGTTGGGAACAGGAAGACTGAAGGGTTACCCATCAGTCATCTGTGCTCTTGGTCCAGCCACACTTAGCATACTGCTGTTATTTTATGAGGACAGGAATAGCATCAAAATGTTTTTCAGAAAACAGTCTGTTGGGGAAAATATCCCCATTATATTACATCACTGAGTTCCCAAAGACTGATGGCGCTTACATTTGATCAAAAAAACAAAAAAAAACATCAAGACTGTCAGACGGAAAACATTTTTGAGTTCCAAGTTAAGGATTTATAATAAAGAGACCGGGGAATGCAGGATAAGCGAACGTGGCCAAGTTTGCAATAGCGTGCATGCTTGGCTCTGGTGGACGCTTTAGGGATAAGGGGGTGAAGGGGAGTGTGGGGGGGGGGATCAATCTCAAACTGTCTAAACACTGCATGCTCACAGCAGACCCAGCGGAGCCGAGGACGACGTTTACGGGACTCTTGCATGAGACGCTTTTTAAATGTCATTATTCTGTTACACTGATTTTTTTGTTTCTCTTGTTCTTTTATCTCATCGGGACATCCCGTCTTTCCTCTCTACATCATATTCATGAGCAAAAACAAATCAACTCCAAATTTATAGGCGATGAATGAACAGAGAAAAATGACTGATCATACAGTATATTCCCATATTTTTTTCTTTTTGCCTTTGGTGCATTAAGCTTTATAAAGTGCGCTGTTGTTTAGGTGGAAGGCTGAACTCGCTGGTTGCTATTTAGAGCTTTGTTTCCTAGAAACCTCAGCATCCTCTCTCTCTGCGCCCCCCCTCCCCTCCCTGAGGCAAAGCAGTAGGATTTCCAATATTTCAAATTGAACTCCAAACACGGCTCTGAGAGTAATGCAATTTCCAATATATAAGAGGCTTACGCTCCAATAACAATTAAGAGTCGATGAATGAATAGTCTGCTGCCCGCCTCCTCACCCACACCCGCTCCCGAGACCACATCACTCCCATCCTCCAGAACCTCCACTGGCTCCCCGTCCGTCAAAGAATCCACTTCAAAGTCCTCATTACTCACAAAGCCCTCAACAATCAGGCCCCCCCCTACCTCACAGACCTGCTGCACCACCACACCCCTTCCCGCTGCCTCCGCTCATCAGAAGCCAACCTCCTATCCATCCCCACCCGCACCAATCACCGGACCTGGGGGGACAGAGCCTTCTCCGTCGCTGCCCCCTCCCTCTGGAACTCACTNCAACCAGGAAACGACACCAGTAATACAGCTCACACTGTCTGCTCCTCGAGCCTCAAAGGGCGGAGCAGCGAGCACCGCAACNGGGACAGAGCCTTCTCCGTCGCTGCCCCCTCCCTCTGGAACTCACTCCCACAACCCATCAGAGACTGCACCGACCTCACCACCTTCAAAAAACTCACCTCTTCAATCTGGCTTTTAATGTGTGATTGTTTTTGTATTATTTGACTTTAACTTTAACTATATATTTATTTGTTGTTCCTTTCTTATCTTTTCTTTTTTCTTCACTATTATCTGTAAAGCGTCTTTGAGCACCTGTAAAAGCGCTAACAAATTAAATCTATTATTATTACGAATTTTCTCACAAAAAGGTAAGTCCTACTTTGGTGAGATATGAAAGGAGTGTCATATACCTGACAAGCATTTTCATTTCAGCTGCCTCTTTGAGTGTTGTGGTGCTAAAGTGTCTCTGTGTTTGTCTTTGTCAATCCGTAACTATAATTAAATATTGATCACTTGCATAAATGGCACACTTGTTCTCTTGGTCCTTGCCGAGTTGTGCATTGATGTTAGCATAGGGACCTTCACACAGTGTGATTTATATACGGGGGAAAGCCCAGAAAGGTTTGATCACGAGGAAGACCATTTGTTTTCAGGATCATTAATTTTATCCTGAGCTGAAGAGAAATAAGCTCAACACATTGAGAGGGGATTTGTTTGATCAAAGGGTTCACTTGACGACTGTTTCTGTCTTTAAAAACAGTCCGAGGTATCACAACTCAAGCATACACAGGAACCAGTAAATTCCACTGAGTAACATAAACAGTTACCTAGCACTGGCTCAAATAGGAAACACAAAACAAAGTGGGACAACAGAGCAGCGCCAAAGATTCAATAAGCACGACTATGAATCACTGATCCATTAGTGCTTGTGTGTCCCTTGTCTCGCTATTTTCTATTAAACGTAACATTTAGATGACTTGTACTTTATATTAATTTAAACAACTCGGAGCATCACAGCTAAATGTATTGTGAGACCACTTGTTGTAAAATAAGGTTTCCAGAGAAATTACGAGCGCATCTCGAGTGCTTCTTCCAACTGAGAACTATTCTGAGTAATGCAGACTGTAAAGCATGGCGGCCTTTTAGTGCTGGGTTGCCTTGGCAGCAGCTCCTGGACTCCATGGCCTCTGCTGATAAGGAGGAGGAAGTGGCTTTGCCTAAGAAAGCAAGGTGGACTTTCCCCACTCGAGCCCGTTTTTCTCAGTCGCTCTTATTTTTCTGTCTGAATAAAGTGTTGTTTTTCCTACAATCACAGTGGTGTGGTGTAGGATTATAATGACTTGCACTCCATGCTTGTGTCTTAACCCAGCACAATTGTCAGGGAGGTTTGGTATGCAGGCCTAAGTGTGAGCAGAGAGCACCACTTGCATTAATGGAGGCAGAGTGCAAAAAGAAAAGAAGCTTCCTATAAATTCAGCCAGTAATCCATCTTCCTCTTCAGACTTAATACACAGAGCAAGATGGAATGCTGGAGATTATACCTTCTGTGACGTAACAGCCATCATGTCTGTTTGGATAAAAAGACGTCTTCTCGTGGTGCTATTTTAAGAAAGGAATGACAGTGTGGACATGCTGAAACGCCTCTGATCTGTTGCTCTGACTGTGGTCTCTCCTCGCACGTGAAGTAATTGGTAAAAGGTTTCCCTGCCTTGTATGGGGTTAAAGGAAATGTGGATGAGTCACAGGTGTGTTTACAGTGTGTGTGTGGGTAGGGAATGTGCTCCAGCCGTCATTGCATTACTGCGCCTCCAGCCAAAAGATTTCTACTGCTGAATAGTTTATGGCATTAGAGACAGAGGAAGGTGTTGGACCGGATTGGAGGCAAGTTCAGATCCATCAGTGACAAACCTGCACCGAGCCAAGTTTATACAGGGTTCAGGCAGGGGGGAAATGGAGGAGAGGAATTATTATATCAGCATAGCACCCTGCCGGCACAAATTAAACATCTGCTCGGAAGCATCGAGTAACATAATTCAAGAGTGACTCGACAGCGCCGTCGTATGTTATCTATGTTTCCCTTCTGGAAGCAAAGAGGAAAGACAGAGAACCCGCAGTTAGCACGACACTTCCCCTTCAATAACATCAGACATGTTACGTAAGGTAGAAGTCCGTCCATGGAATCAACAGCTCCTTCATTGTTTAAAACAACTTCTGCTTTTATACAACAATCAGGACTGTGATCAGGGTGTTTACCTTATCTGAACCGATGACACACTGTGTATTGACCGTATACAGAGTAAGAGGTGGGCGACACGGTCATGCAACACAGCAGAAAACACTTGATTGCCAGTCTGGAAGCTAGCTAAATAAATCTAATACAAAAGTCCTGCAGTAAATTCTAGTTTTTAACATTTCCTTTTTGTTAAAACTGTCTTCATGTTAGAGGCTGCAGTATTTTGATATAGATATGATGGAAAAAAGATTAGAAACGCGTATTAAACGGTAACATTTAACAGCACTGGAACTGTAGCGGCTAAAATGAAAATGTGATTGAGTCAACTTCTTTCAACAAAAGCTGCACATAAAAAAAATGATGGTAGAATTGATGAAGCACCTATGTGTTAGACAAGATTATTTGAATGTACATGTGCCTATTAAAAAGTGTGTGGATTAACATGTCTTCTGAAATAGGGTTGGGCAAAGCTTAGCGACGTAGAGACTACTTGCGCTGTCTGTCGCTAACCAGAACATGTGTTAATAGGGTTATCGTGGGACAGTTACTTGAAGATTGATACGCACAAGTGTGACATGAAAGGTCTTACCTTGCATACAGCTCTCTATCCTGTGGATGAGCTGGTAGGACTTGCAGCGGTCCAGCAGAGTTCGGATGGCTGGCAGAGGGTCCAGGACAATGGTCTCAGGGTGGGCATCAATGTAGTCCTGAAACACAGAGATGCAAACGTCTTAATGTTGTTTTTTTTAAACTTAATTTAGTTTGTATTTAGAAAAAAAATCATTACAGAAAAACTAAACACTAGTCTATCAATACCCGATTTACAACCACTATCACTAAAAGCAAATAGCGCTAAACATCCATATATCCAAAATGAAATGATGGGTTTTGGACTGTTGGTCAAATATAAAAAAGCTTTGAGGGCGTTTTCATTGGATCTGGAAATATCAAAAGGGAATTTTTCTCCATTATCTAAAAAAAAACCTCTTTAGAGTACACAATGAATCAATTGTTAAAAAGAAAGTATCAACGGATTAATCATTAATAAAAAAGTACATTAAATGTGCTAGAAGGGAACTCTATGACAAACACAAAAATACATTCAGACAAATTAGAAATGTTTAACAAATATTTTGAACTACATATAAATAAAAACACAGAGTTGAAGGGTCAACATTCCTGACTCTGTGGACATGTGAGCTAGAAACAGCATGAGCTGTGTGCCAGTGGGTGTGTGTAGGTTACATCAGTACATCTCTGCATGGCCGGCTGTTAGGTCAGCATGAGGTCAGCGTGAGGTCAGCGTGAGGTCAGCGTGAGGTTAGCTGTTTTACATAACTGCACAACCCTTCTCTCCTCTCGTTGGCTCTCCTCTGGCTCTGTCCCCGCAACACCTCCTCTCCATTTTGCAGCTCTGCATGCCCTCCACATTTCCAACTCTGCTCTGTGGATTTCCCTGCCAACCGTCCCTTCCCAGCCATTTTTTACTGACTCACAAACTGTCAGGAGGAGCTGGCTGACCCGCACATCACACAAACACCCCGCTCTACAGCTCTGCTTGCATTATATTAAACAAATGCGGCAATGCGAGACATCAAACGCACAAGTAGAGGGTAAAAGAAAAAAATCCTATTTGCGAACGAACTCTTATGCACACATTGATGCATGCAGTGTAAATGCCATGGTAGACCCATCTGCAGGATTTGCCTGGATCTTACAAGCAATGCTGACCAAAGCCAGTTGAGCGATTATGCAAGTCAAACATGCTACCGCCAACAAGAAAAATCCAAACTAATCTCCAAGGCTTTTAGAGAAATACTCCACTGATAAGGACGGTCACTTACTGAGTTCTGCATCTCAGAAGGAGATTCACATTAAACACAGACAAGAGGGGGAGGAGAGAGGGAGAGGAGCACTGGAGAGCAGGTGTTAAGAGAGGAAAGAGCCAGACATATGTCACTGTAGGTGGAAGAGCGGGGGTGTTAAGGCTGCACTTTTTCTTTTAGTTATTCCTGAAGGATTGGTTTCCATCGGGGGGAAAACAGGTTTGAAATCTCAGAGAATATAGTCAGCAGAGGAGCTATTCTGTGCTACTGGCTTTAAAGCATGTCTGTGACGCAACAGGCCACCATTAAACCAAAATTTGATTAGCAATTTGACCACTTATATGAACCACAACCAACCAGATGGCTGTGATTCACCACATCAGCTAGAGTGACATATGCTCTGGATCATAGAGATGCACAACAGACTGATACGTTTATTATGTTAATAGCCAACATTACCTTAAAGGTCAGCAAACTAATAAAAACAGGGCCGTAAACATGCAACTCTAAAATCATGTCAATATTTGTCCCAGGTCCACTGCGCCTCAGGCCATTGAATCACCCGAGCGCATCCCAGCCTGACATTTTGTTTCAAATAAAGGAGTATTATACAGAGGATGGCTTATTCCCTCCACCACACTAAAGGGCAATTCTAATCACAGCTGCGTCATATTAGGAATGCACCAGCGATTATATCTCAACACAAATGTAAAGACAGATGACAGCTGCGTTCAGGTAAATAACCCGAACTAAAGAGGAATGAGCCACAAAGCTGTGATGTTGATTCAACAGCTGATACTTGATCCAGCATTCCTCTGCAGTCATAACTTTTAATTGGTGAGTGAAGGAATGACACTGTCGGACTAAAACTAAACGTTCAACTTCAGTTATGGCTCCACAAACAACTGTTCCCCCTGATACTTAGCCGTGGGAGAAATATTTGTGTCAGTTCACATTACTGGCGACGCTCAGGCCAAACTAGCTAAATGATGACAACAGCTATACAAAGTTAGGTTGTATTGAGAACGGGGACAGGAGAACAAAACGTGCCATGTGTCTTCAGGTGTTGGAGAAGAAGCAACAAAGCCAGCCAAAGTATCGTGACACCTGATTACAAAGCACCTAGAATATAAGGGCAAAACTAAGTGGTGATTTAAATGGATTTTACTTTATCACTTCAAAGCAGCTCTGAAGTATTTGGGGTTGACAATTATTAGAATACAAATAGTTCCAGGGGGCTAATAGAGCTTAGCAGTGAGCTAGTTGAGATAATAGTTGGAACATTTCAAATTGGGAAGCAAACAAAGAAAAGCACCGTTTTTGGGCAGGTTACACTGTCCTTCTATTTTCTTAATAAACATGATAAATGATTTGTCTTTAAATGTGAGAAAATGGTAAAAAAAACTTGTAACTTATTAAAATAGCTAGTTTTGACACAAATAATAAAAAAAAAAATTAAAGTGATAAAACCAGAGAAAATGAGTAAAAGCACACATTTGAAATGTGTCAATGGTCAAATAATGGATCCTTTATCGAACATGCTTTGTCAAATATAACAACACATACTTGTATGTATTACTTGTCTATGCCTGTGTCAAAGTTCACCTCTGATGTGTAATTTTCCACAGTCACCATTGTTGCCTGCCATCTGATAAGGTGGGTATAAATACTTCTATATGTTTTTTCTAAGAAGCTTCTTTATCACAGATCTTTACAAAAAACAAGGTGTGTGCATTTGCTTCACTATGACCTAGACTCCTAGAGGGCCATAAAGTTGTGCAAATGCAGCTAGATGTAATATATTGACCTGTTTAGTAGTGATTTCCCCACGCTGACACGTTTGTCTTTCCTAATTAAACAGGTACAGGCTGACAGAGATACGTGTTGTTGATAATCTTAATAGCTCCTCTGACTCATTCAGAGAGAGAGAGAGAGAGGCTATGGACTGGGTATGAGCTGGTGGAGCGAAATTAATTTTAACACCCTCTAACACTGCTGGATTATTGAGTACACAGAGACACACACACACACACATTTTTCTGAAGTGTGCTCACAGCACCTGATTTGGAGATGTGACCTGCCATCTAAGTGAGATTTTTCTCACTTCAGGAAGTACAGGAAGAACTATTGAATAACTTAAAGCAATCATGTTTTACAGTGTGAGTCTATAATTGTATGCTCAAATTCAGCTGCTAATGTTCCTGGAGCTATGTTAAGACTCTTAGACCTTTCTGTTTGATTCCTTGATTTGGAACATTTACATATAAACATAAAAGCCTGTATCCATAAATGTACTGCCCGGTGCAGTGCTGCAGTTAGCTACAGACAATGCTATCCAGAGCCTTTTCTCCATTTTAAGATCTGGCTCCGTTTGATTGGACCTGGATATCATTTACAATCTTTTGTTGCTCTTTCCTTAAGCAAAGAAGTGAAAGTTGTTTGATATTAAATGTTGTCTGAAATCAAGCAGACATACAAGATATTTGCAATTCATACAACAACATAAACTGAAATTGCAAAAATGTACTTTAAATCAAAAACGACCTGTTCAAAGAATAAGTCAATTATATCACAAGTCTGACAAGACATTGTGACTTCTATACATCCCATTATACTCTTGGGCAGAAACGAGAGAAGAAGAAAGAGGCGTACCTGTACTCTCTGCACCAGCAGCACGGCCTGCGAGTCATTCTGGTCCGCCTCCAGGATGAGGTCGGTCAGTTTGTGGATGATGACGTCCAGAGGACCCTGCTCCTCCAGAGGCTGGCTGAGGTCCAGCTGAAGAGAGGAGGATAGCCATGAACCAAAGGTTATTGTGCACAAGCTTCTCCACTAAGGTATTCATTTATCACATTTAGAAATGGTTTACCAAAACAATCATCCATAAATATCCATGTTTTTTTTTCGTTTTTCAAAACAGCAAAGAGTGTCTCCTAGCTGCAGAGCGTTGCATTTGGTTAACGGCCTAGATAAAACTGCAGCATTACATTGCAACTATTACTTGGAGTATAGTATTTGATTCCAGAATACCTCATACAAATCAAAAGTATGTTTTTACAGGCAGTATGGCATGCTTTTGACAATAATTAAATCCTTACAGACCCCAAGTCAAACTGCCATCTTGTCCTCACTTCTCCTTAACTGATGCCAAATCATTGTTGCTGTGGCAAGAGGGAAGTTTAAAATATGTACTGGGCCTGCTTCGTTATAGAAGTACATGCACTAGGAGATACAATTACCACCTACTTTGGAAAATCCTCAACCTGCTATTGTCCCCTTTATTTATACTCCCAGTCCGTCTAATTCCTGCAGAAAAAGGCAATCTCTCCACCCTCTCTCATAGCTCTCCTCGAGGAAACAAACATTTATTTTATTTTATTTCTCTGGTTATAAAAATGCATTAGGGACTGAATCTAAATCAATTTCTTCCTTATTTATAGCTCCAACTTTAGTGCAGCCAGTTTATGTTGCATTTGTTTTGAATTACTCCAACAGGATTCTGGTGCCATATATTTTACTATAAGTTAGAAACTTTCTCTCCCTCTGGCCAGACCTCCAGTGTCGCTGAGCATATTCGACAGCCTCTGAGAAAATGCTAAATTAGCATGCGTTTGAAGTTTACTGCAGCTGAAAGACTGACTGCCCTGGCCAAGTAGTTCACAAGTAGTCAAAGCTGCTCTCCAAGAGTGATAAGACTTATGTAGGTCAGCGCTTGCACAGACATACACACAAACACGTAGCAACATTACATGAGATAAAGAGCAATGCTGGTCCTAAGCAACCAGTCCTCTGCTAATGGAATTACCATATCTAAATTCACAAAAGGCCTAGATTCAGGCTGAATGTGTCCAATGTGTTGCTCAGAAGTGGGTTGTGTGAGGTCGGTGTGAGAAACAAGCCTCAAAGTTAGAAAGATCCAAGCCTGCTTGGAGTGACGACTCTTTTCTCTTTGGTGCTACATTAAGGACCTTTTGAGTTGAGAGGGAGGGTTGTGTGAAAGAAACACAAACTATCACACGGATAAAGCTGCCTTCAAAACGTGGCTAAGCTTAATATACTGAAAAAGTAACTAACCTTAAGCCATGTGTTTCCTAACGTGAGTAATACAACTTATTTTTATTACACTAAGGTACTGTGCCAAATAATTTAGCAGCAGATAATGACCCATTAAATATGTCAAATGAAATGATGGGACTAATAGACAGTGCAACTAAAATCAGATACAGAACATTGCACTGATTTGATGGTGTCAAAAAGAGCTCATTGTGTTGGTTCAGTGCTGCTGTTGCGTAATATCAACTATTTGCGTTAAAGTTACTCAGTATCTAATCAGCAAATGGGGATCACCTAATCGTGACAGACAAAAGACAATGAGTCAAACCCTCTGCCAATAAGCCAGAGCCGGGAAGGACCCCACGGTGCTTTATGCTGTCTAGATAGTACGCAAACTGAGAGCGAACACACCTTAGTCACACTGGTGTGGATCAATGCAAGAATTGTAAAAGTGTACAGAGTTTCAGTTGGTTTAGGGCTGTCAAACTGTCAGTAAAGCTAACATTTCCTGGTTAATAATTGTGAGAATTGTGATGGATAGATGACTAATTAGCCTACCCTTGGTCTTCCCCTCAGGAACCAATTGGCACAGTGTAAACCTGGTGAATATCAGTTGATTTATCTACTGTATTCTTGGAAGGGATTTATCAAAAGGAACTAAATGTACAGCTGCGTGGACCAGGCCCAATTTACAATACACATCATAAAGTATGTGCACGCTATGCTAACATGCAAGAAATGCCAACACACCTTCTAATGTGGAAGTCAAGCGGCATGTCTTTAAGAGCCCATTATGCTACATCAACACGGCATGTCTTTCCCTGCCCATCTTAACACTTTGGAATCTCATTCTGCTCCGCTCCATTCCTGCTGCCAGTAGAAACACGTCCTCCAGCTCAAAAACAATATGCCAACGAGAGCTCCAAAAATGTATACAAGGCCAAGTTGCTCTGGCAAAGGAACTGACACAGACAACATTTTCAAATTGAGTGCAAATCTGTATGATTGGGGCTAAGGGAGGGCTGACGTTAGGTGTGGGAAATATGGCTAAAATATTTTATCAGCATATGTCTTTTTTTGGATATACCCAAAATCTGAGAAGTGAAAATTCTCTTTGCAGACGCTGTTGCCCAGCTGGTTTATCAGGAATCATGTGGTGGACAAACGTGTGGTATATGGCAGATGCATAAAACAGAAACAGGCTGGCATGACCTTAGTAGCACAGTCTTGGTAAACCAACACTATAAAAACGTCTTGTCACCTGAGGATAAACAATTACTGTGTTTACAGTACAACACTATGAGCAGCAGTGGTGACAGGGCCTCAGCAGTGAGGTGAGGCACGTGTAAAAACCAGAGTGGTTCCTTGTCTGTCTAGCTAGCCCTGTCAGTGTAAACCAGTGAGGCATGGCTTTAAATCTTTTGGTTACACAACACTGAGGGCCCATCCACAGCCTGGCCCCTTCACAAAACAGGACTCTACATCACCGGGGTCAACACCCACTGGCAAAGACACATCACAGAGGATGAAACTCTCGTCTCCTCATGCGTAGACAGAATGACCCTGCTTTGGAGATCATGCAAAAAACCCACTGATGTCCTGCTAAATGTTAAAAGCAGAAATGTCAGCTGACGTTGTTGCACATCCCTCTGGGACTGAGCAATGGGACATGGTATTGATGGACAGCCTAGAAAACACGCTAGATCCTGGAGGGAGAGGGTAGGTCAGGGACAATATATTTCAGCTTTGATGTCTCTTCATGGTGGCCGGAGCTATGCCCCAGGGGAAGCTAAGGAATGATTTGGCGCAAACATTAGGGAAAGCGCTGACATGCGGACGTCAGTTTTTGACATAATTGTGTACATGTATGGTAGCGCAAACTGCATCAGCCATCAGCAGTTATTTGTCTCTGCTGAAGTGTTGCCATAGAGAAGCTTCATCCTTTAGATGTCTCTGCTCTCAGCTGGATCTCATCTCACCTGGCTTTTGCTTTGTTGTCAGACTTGCCCACAGTGCCAGACAGACAGGTGATGAATGATTTATATTTTATGGCCTGCAGCACTCGACACCCTTGTGTAAGAAAAATATACGTGTCGTAGTAAAATGATGCTGGCCACACCTCTCATCATGTACAAGACTAAACATGAGAAGGGATGAACATGAGCGTGGATCTTCATATAGAGGTTCAAACTGGAGCTCATTAGGCTAATGGCCGTCCACTCTGACTCCCTGGTCCTCTCACTGATTATGTTGTGCACTGGATGAGGCAACTCCCTTGTTAGTGTTTATCAATGAATACTCTTGAGTATTCTTTAAAATATTTAATTAACAGAAGATGTTTGAGCTAGCTTTAGATTGTTTTATAATACATTTGTGGTAATAGGATTGGTCATTATAGATGAAAAATAACTTATTTGGAAGGAACGAGACTTCTGCCAGGTCTATGAAAAAATTAGCTATCAGGGAAGTCACACTGAAATCATCTTTGTAAAATTGATTAATATCAACTTCCTCTTGGCTTCAAGACTCCTAAAACACCAAACTATATAGTGATTACAAATACTGGTCACCAATCAAATGTCTTTGGAGGGTGGTGGTGCACTGGAGGATCAATAAATACCATATAAAGATAATCTCTATTTGTCAGACTCCACATATTCAATATGTGGGTGTGATACAGTTAGCATGCCGGAAATTCATCTGGTCATTTCTAGTAAGCACTTAGCATATATTAAACAGAAAAAGTAACTCAATAACTTCTTAAGGACAGCCCACTCGCTGTCCATTTGCTGTGACGGGTTGTCTCTCATAATGCGAATATTGGCTTACTCGAGGCCGAGCCTGGTGAGTTAATCTCATCCGCTCTGTGACCGGGGGGGATAGCTATCATGAGCTCCAGGCTAAGGGGTCAGTATTGATGAGCTGCTGCAAAATCATTTGGATGAGGGAGAGGAGGCCTTGAGGGATGAGAAGGTGAGCGTGATAATGGGGTACTTATAAAAAAGAGCCAGAGTGGAAAGATGCTAGAGGCTAAAGGAGCAATCGTGTAAAGTCAAACAAAAGTGCCATCTGTTCCTTCTCACTTCTGTCAGTCCTGATGGGTATACATGTAGATGGTTTCCCACACTACAAATGGAAATTCAAATTGAGCTCCCTAGGGCTGCCAGATTTAGCGAAGATCTGTTCACACAGGTTGACGTCATAACTACTGGCAACCCTCTGGAGGATCCAACCTCTTGCGGCTAATAACATATAATGCTAGGTGGGGGTGCAATATCAAATATCTATACATCATAAAAAAAAAGATTCCCTTGAGGGCAACAGACAAGTATTTTTTCTTTATCGATTAATCTTAACATTATTTTCTGATAATCGGTTACTTATATTGTTTAAGATGTCAGAAAACCGTGAAAGATTCCAAACACATTATCCAAAAAAAAAAAAAATGGCAACTTCATACTTTCAGTTACTTTGACAAATAATGAAAACCTACAAGTTTAGCCGATTCATTTATGGTTTAGGCTCTTAACCGTTATTCTAAGAAATGTGTTTTCGGCAAACACAAATTAAGTGAATTAGCTTGTAATGAAGCATAGGTAATCAAGATGGACTAATGGTTTAATCTGCCAGACAAAACGCCTAGGGTTAGTTGATCCGTGGATAACCAAGGTTGAGTTGTTATCATCAGTGAGTCTGTCTGACCACAGGGACAAGGTTAGGTGATTCAAATGGCTGCAAGAGATAAATGTTCTACCACAGCCTTCTAGGGAAGGTTAAATAGGCGATGTATCCACGAAACAGCAACACTCCCACCTAACACACACACTTAATCTGCAATAGTAGTGCCAGACAACTTTTAGATTGTGTAATGTACCAACGGCTTCCTTTCCCCTGATATCCCTTTCTACTATGTCCTTATCACTCTGATCTCGGACTCTTCTTTGTTGAGGTTTAATCAATTAATGCATTCAATTACTTTCTCAATGTGGACATTTGTCTTAAGTTTTGTGAAAATTGGGCTTAAAATAACATAACATATTTACAAATACACATACATTATAGCATAGAATATTACAAATAGAAAAACCGAATACCACACACATGATCTGACATTAGAACTGCTTCATTAACTGCGCACTAACAGTCCAAGGAAAGGTCTAGGGAATGCTGGGCTCAAAATTCACGAGTGAAATAAGAGACGACAGCTTTGTACACAGACTTGCATAACAAGGCCAAAGCATTACAACGGCTACCATTATCTTGGCCTGTGATGCAGCCTTGACGGTACAGGCACTGACTGGCTCTGGGTGCGTCTGAGGCAACAGAGTCACAGCTGTAAACTCAGACATACCTCTGAGAGTAAACTGAGCATTCTCAATTAGCAGGGACAGTTAAGGGGAAACAAATACAACGTTTATGGTGGTTTGTAAGATGAGACAAAAAAACTTGGTGGTCAACAGGTAGTGCTAGAAAGATTGTTCTAATGGGGAAGGCCAGAGGGTTGTTCAAGTCCCAGGGTTCCCCGAGCTGAGAGTTTTTGAGAATCCTCTCAGGAGTGACTGAATGCACGGTGGGAAACAAAGCCCTGCTTACTTTGGGACTATTCCCAGGACAAGGCTCTTTCTGGGTGTGCTGATATCGCTAGAACAGCGAAAGGAAAAAAATAACCTCAAATCAAAGGAAGAAAGAAAACCCCTCCCCGAACAAGAACACATGAGACAGCATTAAAGAAAGAAAAACAGAGGCTGAGAGAAAGGCAGGCTGCTTTCCTCCTGAATTGCAGAAATCTATTTAACTGACAAGCACTTGTCAACACTGAGCTCCCAGGACTTAGTAACAATTGTTACTATGCTGCTGTATGTGCCCTGTTTACTTACTCAATGCAGAGTACTGTGCCCCAGACAGCAGTTTTCACTACCCCGGGGGCTTGTATGTACCTGAACAAAACTCAGCAACCTCTTTTACCTCAGCTAAGTAATTACTGGAGCTAGAGGATTTTCTTTCTTTAGGGTGAAACCATAGGGTACATATAGAATACATTAAGTGATCTGTCAAGAGTTTTAAATGATCACATTTTTGCAATTTTAGAAAAACTGGTGTAGGTCAGATACTGTACATCTAGAAGCTTTTAAAAAGCTTTTCAACCACACATTGTTGCAGCTATACACTCACAGAATGAGTAGCCACTGCCCGTATAGTACAGTAGATTGCTCTCACATACAACAGTCTAAAAAGAGAGGCCATATTGTACTGAGATGAATTACACCACAGCTTCACAATGAACATAGCCTAGTCTGGTACTCTCCCCTACGGTGTTTACGACCAAAAATAGCAAGTGTATAGCAACTACATTAGGTATGTAGAAGGCTTGGTCACAACTCTACCTCAAACCAACAATAAAATGCATCTTAACACAAATGTACATTTAAAAAAGTATCAGGCAAAAACAACCTGTTGTCCACTTACCTGAACAACTTCTATTCCTCTTTTCCTGAAACATAAGAAAAAATTAACTGTTAATATTTTACCAAAAATAAACTGAAAGTCATAAAAACACACTGCTATACATCAAAAGTACCCAAAGGTATTAATATGAAGGATGTTGTATAAATGTGTTTCAGGCTCAGGCACTACAGGGGAGGATGCCTGCGCTCTCCTTTCAGTTTCTCAGGGGAAAAAGTGAGGCAAAACATATTTATTACTTGCACATGAAATATATGTTATTTATTTATATATATAAATATATAACAGTTCCAAGACAGAAAAGGTTAAACTCACTAAGGAAAAGTTAGACATTAGCCTCTTGATGTCAAAAATAAAGCAGCAATGAACCTGAATTATTGGCAACCAGTGGACTACTACAAGAGATGTTGGCAGAGGTGACTATCAGCAGCACTAATGTGGAACCTGGACTCTTCCCTTAACCTCCAATAATACACAGCAGTTAATCACCAATCATTTACAATGTTTAAGGGCTGTAAATAAAGATTCGTTTTGATCAATCTGCAGATTATATACAAGATTTATAGATTGGACTACACATTTTCCATCTCAGTTTATCAAAATCCAAGATGGTGTCTGTAAATGTCCTGTTTTAGATATTCCGTTTAATATATTTTATTTTAGACAAATAAGTCGATTAGTCCTCTAATAGTTGCAGCTCTACGATGAACACAAAACCAGTGCAGCAGCATAACCAACAGAGCCTGTCCAGCCCAGTTGTTTTTGAGGTTACAGTCCCATGGTAACAGCAGCACAGCCATTCAACACTTCACAACAATGTGGATATTTAATACTGCAGCTGGCGTGTTTCATGTGGCGTGAATGGGGCCTTTAGTTTCATCCCATCTCAGATATGGAGATCGTCTGCTGCTCTCATATATTGTTACAGAGCCAGCAGAATGAACAGGATGGAGGAGAAGAAGCCGAGGCCACAACTTTTTGAACATACACTTCTTATTAAACCGTTTCTTAATGGCATGCAGTATTATATATCCATAAACTGTAACCCTAAAGTTAGGTATTTATGGTACACCATAAACATGGCTCTGCATGACAACAAGTGATTACAAAGTCTACACATGGGTGTATTCGAGAATGTTTGCCAAACAAACATCGGGTGGAGTCAAATAAGGTAGGCCAAACAGGTGAAGCAACATTACCGGTTTGGGCTGTTAGAAACTTTGATCCCGTGCTTCTTTTAAATCAATGCAACCAGTTCTTTACATGACAAAGGGTTTGAAAGTGATACCCGCCACAGATTTGAATTTATCACAATCCTCTCATCGCTGAAGTATATTATATAATTTGGCTGAAAGACAACATACAAGCATACAGTGGGTGCAGCTCAACATAATCTCATCAGACTTGTTATAATAGAGTGGCCTTGCCTTGACATTAGTCAATGAATATATTTGTATATTAGCCAAAGATGCTAAGCATGGCTGTTTTCAAGGGCATTGATTTTTTCCAGATCAATTATACTGTATGTGAGTCACTAGGAAGCCTCTACGTAGTTGTGTGAGACCCAAGGGATAAAAATATAATCCTAAGTGGCTCTGACCAGCAGGCATCCAGTAAGTCCAGCTGCACGAGACAGGCCAGACCCCACACTGAAGCACTCACATCGTCAGCTGCATGCCACATGATGAGAGGGAGAGAACCTGCTTCAACACTAGTGGAGTTTGATATTGGCATATTCCCTTTAAGATGAAACATTTGGTTCATCTTTGATTATAAAGCCTTACAAGTCAAAACACTTCCCCAATCTATTTGTGAAGGAAAATCAAAGGGCATGAAATGGGATTCAAAGAGAGTGATATGGCCAAGGAAACCTTTTCTAAACTATTAGGCGTGTCATATGATGAGAAGAAGAGGAGAGCCATGAGACAGGTTCCAGTGGGTAACGAGTGGGAGGTATTCAAGAGGTAATCAAATACATGATACAATCACATTGACTTTTTAAATGGGTTGGAATGTGTTATTGTTCCTGCATAAAGGCCATTCATTGGAATAGTTATTTGTAATCTCTAGTCACTAATTACACTTTCTAACACTTGGCCCCCTCCCTTCAGATTAAACAACCCTCTCCAGTTTTTAATGGAAGAATGGGGATAGGTAGGATGGAGGGACAGAGTGGTTACTTGGAGATTCAAGAATAAATAAAATGTTTTGTGGATTACACTGTGGTAATTTAGGTTGGCTCAACCAGGATGCTTTGTGAGGCAACAACCCTCCAGAAAAAAAAGAAGGAAGCAAATGCCTGCTATAATGCACGCTCAGTGACAACACACCTGACCTACCAGAACACACCAGAAAGACTGTCGGATTCATACTTTTTTCTCCATTTTCCCCACACTGTTGGTCTCTGATTGTTTGTGTTTTCCAGTACACTGCGGCCCACATACAGCACAGGCAGCTAGGCAATAAGTAATAAAAAGTCTGCTGCCATACCTTGGAGCCAATCCCCAGTCCATTAAACTTATAGTAGCTATTGTAAATCAGTGAGGGAGAGTTCACTCATCCTGAGGAAATACCCTACTTTATAAGACCTAATATAAGATTTTACTTGGCCTTGAGAAGTATAACCTACAACAAAAATATCATTCATCCATACATACATAACCATCTCATATAGCTGCCACTCTCAACGCTGGGCAAACAAATCAAAGCTACAGTGGACGTACACCCTTGAACAAATTCATGTTATGACTATGCATCTCAACAGATAAGTGTTTTTTTCGTAGACGATTAAACATCCAACAACTAGAGACACAAGGCCATGACCGTTCTGCTCCAAGTACAAGAATTATAAGATACTGTATTGAGCAAAGGTTAACTCTGTGGGATGGGAGCACATATTCTGGTTTAGATATAAAATCAACACGTCGGCAGAAATATTGTTCTTCTTTCCAAACACATAGCATACAGTTTTATGCTTCAGGAGAATTAGCAACATAATAACACCAGTTGTGGCTGTTTATCCTATTACACATGCACCTTAGGCCACTGTCAATAATTCTACTTACACACTTTCCCTGAACCTTTTGTCTCAACAGGCACTGACTTAAATCATGGCAAACAAGCTCTACAACACTAATTGACTCTTGCTATAGCCACCTTCCCTCGGGGCAAGCATTACAAAAGTAGCACAGCAGCCACAGGCCTTGTAGTTTGGGCAAAACCTCAAATTCTTAAAAACAGACATGGGTTGTTGTGTGCAAGTATGAATTAGAAAGTGCAAATGAAAAGGGTTTAGAGAGGAAGAGATAATAATGTCCCTTTTTACCATGGAGTCACTAAGAGGAAGTGCAGTGTATGTCAGCACACCTCTTAATAAACAATTGAATACACTGTTGATGATTATTAAAACATTAAATGCTTTGTATCCACACATACCTGCACAAATCGGCAAAGGCCTGGAAATTCAGCTTCTTCATCTTCTTCTCGCTGAGCCAGTAGCCGACTCTCCGGCCTTTCAGGAAGGTCTGCATCTCCAATGTGCTCCGGTTCCTGCTCTGGAGGTAAATGGTGTGACTGGAGGCTCAACCTGTACAGGCGAAACAACAGGAAGCCACACTATGACGTTAACCTAGCAGCAACAAGCAATGAAGGTACACTGAAGTCCACCACTCGGTTTGCGTTACTCAAACACAGCCAGAAGTGGCGCTTTCTATCTTTCTACTAGTGCCCTCATGGTTCACACATCATTTGGTTTTTTAAAAGGTAACACCACAGTAAGTGTAGTTCAGCATCAGCGAAACACACAGACCATTTCTGCTAACTGCTAATGTTAGCTAGCAAGCTGGGCAGTGACAGTCTGCACCGCTAACCGATGGTAACTAAGAAACGTAAGCTAGCTTGCTAACAAGGCTGACCATGGTTACATTGCTGAACAGATTTACACCACTTTCTCGTACTAAATTAATTAGCCAATGGTGGAAAGCAAAGGCTACCTGGCTAACAGATGAAGCCACTGACTGAACGGTAACTACGTCAAGAGGGGCTGTGGGAGCTAGCGTTAACTAACCTGACAGTTTTAGCACAGCTCCCCCTGAATGTGTATCCTCTTCAGAAACTAGCTGGGATAGTTTCCCATTCTCTGTCCGTCCGGTGGAGAAGGAGAAGTTTCAAACAAGGTGACAGATGACAGGCTGAGCAGCACTCACGTTGAGATGTTCCTGGTGCTTTCTGCCTCAGTCTCTGGATTGAACTGCCTGCTCACACCCAGGATCCAGGAGACTGATGCTGCGTTCACGGGCGCCTCGGAAAATACCACTCCCGACGGTCGAATCACAGCCTGTCCTGATTTCACGTGATGCTGTGCTTTCATTATCGATTAATTTGCATTCAGAGGGGAAGAAGTACTCAGATCGTGTACTTAATCAAAAGTAGAAGTAAGTGTAGGAATTTTCTGTTCAGATAAAAGTCCTGCATTCAAATGTTACTCAAGTAAAAGTACAAAAGTATTGGCATCAAAATATACTTAAAGAAACAAAAGTAAAAGCACTCATTATGCAAATTGACCCATTTCAGAATAACAGATGTTTTTAATCATAATTAGTGATGCATTCAGGTATTTATCAAAGCAGGTAAAGGTGTAGCTAGTTTTAATTTGATAGTATAGGGTATCTTGTGAATGTTACTCCAGGTTTAACTAAAATCTTATTCAACTGTTGTTTACATTTCACATTATTAATCCGAATCCTGATAGCAAAGGTAATAAAGATATTAAATAGATGTACTGACTTTTAGAGGAGTAGAAGTACAAAGTAGCAAAACATTGAAATATTCAGTAAAGTACAACTCTCTCAAAATGTTACTTAAGTACAGTACTTGAGTAAATGTACTTAGTTACTTTACACCTTGAGTAATCGATTCCCATCTAAACTAAACTTAATCCTAAACCCAAATATATACATGTTCCAGTGATATGATCCCATTAGCAACGTCTCATTGATTTCATTTTTGGTTAACATAAACACATAATTGTATTTTTGGTTTTGCATGTAGACTAATTTACCTAAATATTCTACTCTTCAAAAATAATGTTCAGTTAAACAGTGAACAAAGAGGATAAGAAACCCTCATGAGTGTGATTTACGTTCATATACATCTTTATATGGGGTTTTAACAAATTGTTTTATTTTTGTATCATTGGTGAGTTGAATATAATGGGGATTACACATTAATTGTAGGGTTATTTTTCTCAGTCTAAAGACGATGAGGCCTGTCCCTGCACATTTAGTTGCAGTAAACTACAATCTCTTTGAGCTGTTGGCTCCACAATATTTCCGACAGCCAGTAAAGGCAACCTGGATGCGGTCAGAGAAGTTCTGTGTGTTCCCTGAGACAGCCACTTCACGGTCTGACAACATCAACCACATGCACGTTTTCGAAAGTCTAAAAGAAAATTGTAGATTAGAGAACAGGTTTGTGACTTTTACTCAATCCAACTGCAGTCTGCATAAATGAATGACCTGTCTTGTATGTATGGGCCCGTCACAGCTTGCATAATGCCAGCAGTCCCAACATTTAACAAACGAGCGTTTATCATCTCAACAGAGAAACATGTTACTGTGGCGCCACCCATTGGAAAACCACTGCAAAATGCAGAAGTCTTCCTTCTTTCTGTCTGACAAACAAAACAGACAGCAACAACGACCATGAGTCATGAAAAAAAAAAAAAAAAGACTTTATATTATTATAAGTAGTAGTAGGCAGGCTCATAGGCGGCGCGTGAGGCTCAGGTTTGGGAAGGCTAACTTGTTTTACCTGACGCTGTCCGGCTCCATCGTCTATGGATAAGAGATCAACTCAGTGAAAGCACAGCCTGCTGACCAATCAGAGCTCAGTGTGCGGAGTTTAAATATATCAAGTCATATTACAGGATAAAGGAAATGCAGTTTAAACTGCCGTACAGAGCCCCTCCTCCAACACACACGAACGCGCACATGACCAATGAGGGCACGAGATAAGTTTGTGTACAGATGGAAGGCTGACAGGCAGGTAGGCCATCCAGTTATTTTAGCCGGGCCGGCTAAAATGATTGGTCGTGCTTTTCCAACACATTCTCACTCCCAACTCGGCCTATGTTGACATTATGTCAGGGGCCCTCTCGTCACTTTCCAACGCAAGGGGGGGCCCTTTAGCGTCGAGTTTCAACTATCAGGGAGTCCCATTGACTTGCATAGAGCTCCCTGAACGTTGGTAATAGACGAGTTGGGATCGCGGCAAAATGCTCTCCGCAGATCCATTCTCACAGCGTTTATCAACCTTTTTCTAACTCAATATCAAGCCACACTCATTGTGTTTTCTTCTTTATTTTAATTGTATAATGTCGGACTTTTGTTGCTTTCAGTTAGGGGGAGAGTAGGGGCTCAGAAAACTGAAATCTGTATTGTTTCATAGTTTTTTCCTTCTAATTTTATATTCTTTTCTAAACCACACACTGTTATTTACTCAACATTAAGACACAATTATCCTTGTGTTTATTTATTTGTTTGATTGTATAATGTCAGACTTTTGGAGTCCGTCAAGACCAAGGGTCGGAGCAGCTCATAGTAGTTGCTTAAGAGAATTTTACACCCGGAAGTAAGTAATCTCTCCGCTTTGCTCAAACCCTGTGATTAGTCCTCAAGCTCTGTGATTTGGATGGTTTAGCCGCAATGCACGTTGGGATATGGTGTTTATGCGATGTGAAATCCGTAAAAAATAAAATAAAATAATACTTTATTCCGAGTGTGCTTGCTTTTCTCTTTGAAAGTCATCACATAACGGCATGGTAATACACGGTTCGGCTGCATTAAATATTACATATCTGCCGTAGTTCTTTATTTATAGAGCCCTGATGAGAAGACTTCTTGACAAACAGGAAGAACAGCAGCCGAAACTGAGGTGGCGTGGATCATAAATATATCAGCAATTAAACAACATCTTCAATTTCTCTTCACAATATACGTCTCCTCGCAGTATCAATACTAATTTGTTTGACTTTTATATTTGATCCAATTGGTATAGGCTATATTTACACCATAACGGTGCACAGCTGATAGAAAGGGACACCTAGTGGTTAAAGCACGTTATTGAATTTGATTATTTTTATTATTATATATTAATAGGAAACACAGACAGACAAACTAATAAGGCTTTATTTAAACATTAAAGAATACTTTAGGTTAAGGTCTTCTTTTGAATAAGAAAAAAGCTTTGGGAGTATCATATTAAGCCTGACAAAGTACTAATATATTGCTTTCCTCTAATGTTAACTACTGTATGTTTAAGAACTTATTTTAACTGATATTATACATTTAAGCAATAGCTCACGACAGACCGTGGTATATGCTCATTATATCACAGCTAAGGGGCGTGGTTCGGCCCGACGCAAGCGCCTCGGTCCTGCCGCAGTACTGTCGTACCAATAATGACGTTCAAGAACGGCCTCAAGTGTATGATTGCGATTCTATTACACAAACTATCATTGTAATCAACAATATCGTAAAATTATTTCATAATGTGGGCTAATTTGCTCCCAAACCTACGCTTTCTGCTTGAGTTAATCTCCGTCAGAAAGTAGTTCCTAGAAAGTAGTTCCCATGGTCACGATAGCCGATCAAACACTCCTGCCACCCCGTTTACAGTTATTGGTATAATCANAAGTAGTTCCTAGAAAGTAGTTCCCATGGTAACGGTAGCCTTTTTTCCAACGCACTCAACTCGTCAATTGAAACAGCCGCAAATCTTTCGTTGATTTTGTGGTCTGTGTCCATGTCCAACCTTTCATCAATACTGAGGCCCCCCAACAAATCAAAATTAACTTTAAAATCTGACATTTTGTAGCTACCGATTTCCAACGAGAGACAAAGTATATAACAGTGTAACGGCTGTGTGTCCCTAAACGTCGCTATGGAAACCACACGATGTAGGCTCATGGAAGTAGTTTCAGTAGGCTAGTGGCGTGTGTCGGCCACTGGATACTTTGTGATTAGGCACGTTCTATTTGATCCTTGTTTAAACCTGGAATCAAACACGCCTATTGACCAATCAGAGAGCTTATACTCTTATAAGATGTATGTAGATAGTATAAGAAATGTGCAGAATACGACAGTTTAATGGTGGAGGTACACATATTGATAGATGTCTTGTAATGCGCTGTTGAGGAACCTGCGACCCAAGTTTTTCATCTCCGACCTTGCCAGGTATTGAACATTCAATAAATAAAGAACACAGATTTATTAAATATAAAACACTGAATTTGTGTGATTATACTAAATGATTTACAAATAAACACCACTGCATATTTACAACTGTTANAATATTTAATCTCTGGCCTTGTCAGGTATTGAACAATCAATAAATAAAGAACACAGATTTATTAAATATAAAACACTGAATTTGTGTGATTATACTAAATGATTTACAAATAAACACCACTGCATATTTACAACTGTTACACATGCTGCAACTTGGGATCAATAAAGTATATCTTATCTTAAGATGATCGATGGCTACTGCCATATTTGCAAAATTTGCCTCTGAACCTTGACAAGTGCATGTTTCAGGCTTATCAATTAACAACAGCAGGGGTCACAGACATAAGACCAGCTGTTAAATAAAGCTCTTCTGACCTTAGCTGTCATGTGGGTATATATTAATGCTGCACATTATGGACACAAGCAATTTTCACCCATTTATTAATTATATGTTTTAATACTGGCAACTTCTTATTATGGGAAATACGAAAATGTCTTTTAAAACTACAATTCCCAATAGAGACGTGCCATATGAACATGTTGCGAAACACACAATAGCCAGCATGTGTAGTTCTGGGGACGGGTTGGGGGAGGAGGGTGGTGGACCCATCCGAATCCAGTTTTGGATAGTCTGCCGTGGTTCCATCCCATTTCAAAGTGCTGTTTGACGCTCGGTGTAACCCTTGGCGCACTGCCACTCAAACATCCAATTACAGAGCTTGAGGACTAATCACGGGGTTTGAGCAAAGCGGAGAGAATACTTACTTCCGGGTGTAAAATTCTCTTGAACAACTACTATGAGCTGCTCCGACCCTCGGTCCTGACGGACTCCAAAAGTCCGACATTATACAATCAAACACATAAATAAACACAAGGATAATTGTGTCTTATTGTTGAGTAAATAACAGTGTGTGGTTTAGAAAAGAATACAAAATTAGAAGGAAAAAACG